CGTCGGTGCGCGCCTGGGATCCAAACCCGGGCCACCAGTAGCGGAGCGTGCGCACTTAACCGCTAAGCCACAGGGCTGGCCCTTCCTCCACTTTATATGGGGCGCCACCACAGCATGACTTGCCAAGCAGTGCGTCAGTGCACGCCCAGGATCCGAACCTGCGAACCCTGGGCCACCGCAGCGGAGCGCGTGCACCTAACCGCTTGCGCCACTGGGCTGGCCCCTCAAGTATCCAATTCTTTTTTGTGTGTGTGTGAGGAGATCAGCTCTGTGCTAACGTCTGCCAATCCTCCTCTTTTTTTTTGCCGAGGAAGACTGGCCCTGGGCTAACATTCCATGCCCATCTTCCTCCACTTTATATGGGACGCCGCCACAGCATGGCTTGCTAAGCAGTACGTCAGTGCGCGCCCGGGATCCGAACCGGTGAACCGCGGGCCGCTGCAGCACAGCATGTGCGCTTAACCGCTTGCGCCACTGGGCCAGCCCCTCAAGTATCCAATTCTTGAAACCAGCATTGACTAGTATTGTTAACTGTGGTCACCATACTGTACATTAGATCCTCAGAACTTATTCGTCTTATAAGTAGAAGATAGTACTTTTGGACTGACATCTTCCCATTTTCCCCACCCCCCAGCTCCTGGCAACCACGGTTCTACTCTCTGGTTCTATGAATTCAACTTTTTTAGATTCCACATATAAGTGAGATCATACAGTATCTGTCTTTCTCTGTCTGGCTTATTTCTCCTAACGTAATGTCTTCCAGGTCCATCCATGTTGTCGCAAATGGCAGGATTTCCTTTTTTATGGCTGAATAATATTCCACTGTATGTATGTACCACATTTTCTTGATCCATTCATCTGTCAGTGGACACTTGGGTTGTTTCCGTGTCTTCCTGGCTATTGTGAACAATGCTTCAGTGAACACAGCAGTGCTGATATCTCTTTGAGATACTGATTTCATTTCCTTTGGATAAATACCCAGTAGTGGGATAGCTGGATCATATGCTAGTTATATTTTTAATTTTTTGAGGAATCTCCATACTGTTTTCCATAGCAGCTGCCCCAATTTACATTCCTACCAATAGGACACAGGGTTCCCTTTTCTCCACACCCTCTCCAACACTTATCTTTATCTTTTTATAATACCTATTCTAACAGGTGTAAGGTGATAGCTCATTGTGGTTTTCATTTGCATTTCCCAGATGATCAGTGATTGCATTGAGTCTTGAAGGGCAGTGAGGATCTGATTAGGCTAGAAAAGTGGGGGCGGGAGAGCCTCCCAGCAGAGGGACCAGCATGTGCAAAGGCCCAGCAGTGGAAACAGCCTTGAGGGAACTGTCATAGGTTGAATGATGGCCCCCAAAAAGATATGTGCACGTCCTCACCCCTGGAACCTATGGATGTGACCTTATTTGGAAAAACAGTCTCTGCAAATGTAATTAAGTTAAGCATCTCAAGATAAGATCATCCTGGGTTATCTGAATGGCCCCACATCTAATGACATGTCCTTATAAGAGACAGAAGAGGCGAAGACACAGTGAGAAGAGGAGAAAGTCATGTGAAGACAGAAGCTGAGATGAAACTCAATTTCAAGCGCCCCTCCCCTTCCCCTGGAGGTTGGAGGTTGGAGGTTGGCAAGTTGGGCTGACACCCTGTGCCTCAAAGCCCCAACCTTCTGATCACGTGGTTGGTCTTTCTGGCCTGACCAGCCCCCTTCCTTCTGACCAGGCACCTCATTAGCATAAACTCAAGTGTGGTCAGGGGCCACCCAGGAATAGCCAAGACACCGCTATCACTTATTCAGGAAATTCCAAGGGCTTAGCGGTTGTCTCGCAGGAACCAGAGACAAAGAGCAGACGCGTTCTCTATTATACAACAGTAACGAGGAAGGAAAGAGGCCGGGATGCAGTTGTTCATCCATTTAACAAATACTGAGCGAGCACAGGTACGGTTGGTTCTAGGTGCTGGAAATCCAGCAGGGCAAACAGACACCCACCGTGGTCTTCCTGGAGCTGACGTCCCAGTGGGGGCAACTGACAAGCCGATAAGTAAACTGCATGGTGTGTCAGAAGGTGATAAGTGACAAGGGAGAGAGCAGTGGTGGGCGTGCTGGGAGGGGGTGCAATTTGAAAAAGCGTGGTGGGGAAGGCTTTGCCTATATATTTGAACAAAGACCTGAATGGGGGGGGGTGAGCCATGTGGGTGTCTGGGGCAGGGCATTCCAGGCAGAGGGAACAGCCAGTGCAAAGGCCCTGGGGCAGGAGTGTGGCTGCCTCAGGCACAGCGAGGAGGCCAGGGCAGAGAGGGGACAGGGCCAGGTCCTGCAGGTCCATGTGGGCCATGGTGAGGAGTTTGATTCTGAGTGTGGTGGGAGCCAGGGGAGGCTTTGGAGCAGAGCGGCATGAGCTGACTTGGGGAACACCCTGGGGGTGAGGTCGTGAGGTCTGTGGCAGGGAGCCCAACGAGGAGGCCGCAGTGATACTCAGGTGGGAGATGGTGGTGGTGGACCCAGGTGATGGCAGTGGGGGTGGTGAGAAGTGGTCAGATGCTGGATACATTTTGACAGTCATTCAGCAAATCTGCTGATGGGCTGGCTTGTCAACGGGCAATGAGAGCAGAGTCAAGTCAACTCCAAGGCTTTGGGCCTGAGCGCCTGGAGGGACAAAGGTGCCACCTACCTGGCTGCACAGCGGGGCATGTTTCAAAGCGAAGATACAGGGCTCCGGGTGCCTTCCTCCTTGCCCCGCGCGCATTGGCTCTAGCTGGAGACAGAGCCGGTTGGAGCTTCTGCCCCGCGTTCACTGTCCCACCCCGAATCAACCCAACCTCAGCCCTCGTGGGCCCGAGTCCCCCTGAAGCGCCCTCTGCCATGTGAGCCCCCGGCTGTCACCACCAGGTGGCGCCCCTTGCCCCTGCCACATCCACCCCAGCTCACCATCTACTCCAAATTTCCCTTTCACTTTCGATCTCTGGCTGTCACCCAGCCTGGCTCCTTCCACACCCAGCTGGGGCAAGCCTGGTGCGTGAGGAGAAATGGGCTCTGGGTCCCGAGGGGCGGGGCCGGGGTCTCCCTCCTGGGGCTGAGGGAGGAGGGATGGGAGTCAGGCTCCTGGGTCTCTGGCCTGGGGAGGGTTCTGGGGACCGGACGTTGGGGTTCTTAGAAGGGGAGATGAGGACCTTTCGCTGTAACTGGGGCTCACGCAGGAAGCCCGTGGGAGTAGGAGGCGGAAACCTAGCCACATCAAGGGGCCGAGGCAGGGGCGGGGAGGTGGAGGGGCGGACGAGGAAGGGCCTGGGGTGTGGGGGTCTGAGACTTGCTCTTCTGTCCCTTCCAAGATCCAGCCACAGGCATGAGGGGCCCCCGGCCGAGATGATAGTGCTGGCGCCAGCCTGGAGCCCAACTGTGCGTATACCAGGGAGAGAAGGTGGGGGAAGGCAGAGTGGTGTCAGGATGGGCAGAGCTGAGAGGGCAGATGACAGAGGTGGGGGAGATGACAGAGGTGGGGGAGATGGACAGAGGTGGGGGAGATGGACAGAGGTGAGGAGATGGACAGAGGTGGAGGGAGATGACAGAGGTGGAGGGAGATGACAGAGGTGGAGGGAGAGATGGACAGAGGTGGAGGGAGAGATGGACAGAGGTGGGGGAGATGACAGAGGTGGGGGA